GAGGCGTTCTCCTCGATAATAGCGGCGGCAGAGGCGACTGGAGGGCTGGCTAGCCGTTGAGCTAATTCGCTGCTGAGATAGCGATGGTGAGCAGGCAGAGGCAATGAAGCAATATTCAGCTTGCCTGGGGATCACTTAACTTGAGGCTTCCTGCGAGGCTGTGGGCGAACCCGCATCTTCGAGATGACGAGACGATGGTCGGTCTACCCCTCGTCACCCGGAATCGCTTTTGTCACCAGCGCGCCCTGTTGGTCTCATTTTCGAACGAGGGCATAGTCCAGTAGGTGCTAGTGTCGCGAGTGATGGTGCATCTACGTGGCCTTCTCTCGCATCGGAAGGCGGAAGAATGTGTAGGCCAGGGTGAGCCGGTGTTCTGCGTAGGTTCGTAGGAGGATCAGGCCATTTTTATTAGAGCCGTCGAGACCATGAGGACCCAGCACGCCTCTATAGACAGCATAATCTGTGTCAACGAAAGCGTTAAAGTCACCAAGGACAATTCACTATCCCTCTTCGACACAGCTGCCAGGAGGGCGTGCAGGTTCTCGTAGAATCTGTTCTTTGCCGCGTCAGAGCTGGTCATCAGGGGGGGGGGTGAGCGTAGACGACGACGACGAATTTTCCTCCTCGGAAAGGCGAGCGGAGGCTCATCGGACGATCATTAGTGCCCTGCGGCAGACAGAGCGGTCGCCCCACGATGTCATTCTGGGTTGCAAAGGCAACGTTCACGGCCCTTCGCTCTACCTTGGGGCGACCGCTCCAGAAGTAGGTGTAGCCGGCACCCGCCTACTCCAGTTGGCCTTGTTTGGAGAAGCGGGTTCGCTGAGTGTAGCGATGTCCACAGTGTAGCGCGCCAGTTCACTCGCTATTGGCGCCGTCCTCCGTTCCGGTCGTTTCGTCCTCGGAGCGTCTAAAGGAGAACGAACATTCCAGGCCGCCAGAGTGAGCGGACTCATTCTATCAGTCTGGCGAGTGGGGCAGCGGGGAGGGGGAGGGGGAGGGGGAGGGGAAGAGAGAGTGTGTCGTTTCGGATTTGTTAGTTTCGACCGTGAGTTTTGCGTCTGCGGCCACGATCAGCCTGCAGACGGCGTAGATCCTCAGTATTTGTTCAGGGCATCTTTTCTAGCCCCTTTCCCCTCGAGAGGGGGAGCAACGCCACCCTAAATAGGGCTGCTCGGTTTTCTCAGGCGGCTGCCGAACTCCACTATGGGCTACGGCTTTTTTGGTGGGAGAGCAACCTGAGTTAGCCTGGGCCAGCCTACGACATTGCCGTAGGACCTGAAGGGGGGAGGGTGATGGGGGAAGGGCAGAGAGACGGGAAGCAGAGCTTCCCCGTCCCTCTATAAGCGAACTGGCTGATGAAATATATGAGCAGTGGAAAAACAGATTCAAAGGAACGACAGTTAGCGTACAGCAAATACAAACAGAAACAAGTTGACTAAGGGCAGGCAGGCGAGCACAAGCAGCATCAAAAGCAGACAAAGGAAATTCAACGGAACGACATTTAGCTTCCAACATAGACAAGCATAAACAAGCAGACATAAAGCAAGCAAGAACAAGCAAAGCGAAGGCAGAAAAGCAATGTTCACCTAGCTGGGGGCTCACTTACCTTGTGGTCTAGTTGGTGTTTCAGATGGAGCCTCGTCTCGGTGGTGATCCATCCGGCCGGCGGAGCCGAGTTACTGTGTGCGAAGATGCACATACGGGTACCCTCACCTGGTTAAGCCCGCCGGTCGAGGCGGTTACTGAGGTTGTGGCCGCTAGGCAGAGCCTGAATTTTTTAAATTTTCACCATATCTACTGCGTGTGACACAAACTGGAAGTGGATAATGAGGGGGCCTGGTGTGTGCTGGGGCTGAAGAGCTGGAGGTTGGTGAGGAATTTGCAGTTGATGGCAATGGAAATAGAGGGATAAAAGTGGAGGTGGTTGAGGAGCTAGGGGTAGGGGACCATAGGGTTCGACCAAAGTTGTACCCGGAGTAGAAGCGTTGAGGCTGCTCACGCCCATGAACTATTCATGAGTTCCGCGTTGGGCACAGAGTGTTTTCGTATCTCGTATGACAACCCGGAAGAGGCCGTTGGAGGGTGGTTTCGGTGGCCGGTGAACTCGATCACACCAAAGGTAGACGCGAGAGTATGTCGCCAAGTCTTTCTCGAGATATGACTTCAAGATTGATTGTCTTTGCGGTACCGGTGAGTTGCCCGCACAAATAGCCGGAGACGATGCACGTGGTTGGTCGGATCTTCATCGCTTGGCGAGGGGTCGGAGGGGTCATCCTACTGGGAATTTGGAGAGTGACGCCAAACACCAGTTCAGACATGGAACAACCCATGGTTTGAATTTAAGGCCAAGAGGATGCCCAGGAGAACCAGGTCATATATGGCGCGTATAAAAGTTTTCAGTTGGCAGATGAACCGCCCGACCACCCCGTTAGCAGCAGAGTGATAGGCTGTCGTGCAAATACGAGTACCGCCTAAAAAGGGGAAAGAGACTAGGAAGGGTGACATTCAAATTGGCCCCGCGGTCACTTGCCATATTGAGGAAGGCACTGAAGAGAGCAACCCAACGAATCAAGAAGGCCATGACCACCATTGAAGCCTCGACATCGGACAGAGAGATACCTTTAGATCACCTAGTTAAGCGATCCACGCGTGTAAGGAGATAGGAATAGCAGTTGGACAGAGGCAGGGTTTAAAATTCCAGGTTGACGTAATTGAACCTCGCACCGGTGCAGCTGACAATTTGGGCCTTTCTGCGCTGTTAAACCTTGCTCTGCTGATAGCCAAACCCTACCCACATCCAGGATTTGAGGTCCTCGTGCATCCCAGATCAAACAACACCATGGAAAATAAGCCTGTTGACAGCTGAACTCCCAGGGTAAGAGAGGTT